CTTGTGGAGATGAGCCAAGGAAAGAGGAGATAATACTCCATATATAAATACCACAAGAAAGATGCTACGATTATTCTCTGCTTGTATAAATCAAATTTGCCGCCTTATAGAACAACAAATTCTTCCCCCTTAACCTCAAAGCCAAAATTTGACGTTACTGAGACCTAGCTGCAGAAGAAGATCTCTCCTCAAAGCAGCAGCTCAGTCTACCTGTTCCTTGCAAGTGTAACAATATGCTGACAGGCATAGGCAGCTCCACAAAGCTCCTGGTAGGTGGATAGGCAGATATGCAAATCTGTAACTGGATTTCTTAAAACCAAAATATACTACATTGTCCCAGTCCCCTTGCACGTATCTGGAGATTTCTAGTGCCAGGCAGGAAATATAAACCGGACATCTCAGCAATGAACTGCACGTGTAGCTGACAACATTCATCAAGAGAATATGCATGCATCTGATAACTGACCACCCCTATATAAATTATTAAAAATCTATATTTATATTTGGGACAAATTTTTCAGGGACACTGCCTTTTAGCCTGAGTAACTGACTATCTAATGAGTACCTCTACAAGAGATTCAGGAATAGGATTTTTCCTGCCCCTAGGTTGTAAAACTGCTATCAAGCAAAAAGGGGCAAATTATTAATTTCTCAATTTAGTGGCTGAGCTGTAAAATCACAGCAAAGGATATCTGGAAGTCTTCCAAATAAATAAAACTAAAAAAACCAAACCTCATGACAGTTTTTTTTCATTTATTTTTATTTCATTTTGCTTGGCTTTTGTTTATTGGGGGCATTTTTCTTAAAATTTAGCTATATTTAAATATGAAACAAGTGAGAACAATATATTGACGCATTTAATTTTGAAAATGCTTAAATGTAAATTTTAAGAAAAAAAACATCCCTTACTTCCATCCAAAATTATTCACTGAACACAACCACATTTCCACACCTTTCAACTTGCCCAGGACTACATTTATCAATGAACAATCTTTTTGCCTGAAGAATTTCACTTGTATCTACTCCAGAGAGGCTGATCCTGCCCCATGGAAGAAGACGAAAGTCTCTGCCCCAAGACCTCGCAGTCACAGGGCAGACATCAAGAGGACTCGTGCAGTCCAACAGCCGCTGCCCGCTTACAGGGTTTAGGTTGACAGTCATCCTTTAAGCCTTAGGGCTCAGGTCACACCTCTATGGCTGTTCTTGATTCAAAATCACAGGTCCCACACCCATCAAAATAGCAGTAGCGGTATGGTGTGTCTGGCCTCAGCTTTTTTGGAAAGACAGGAGGGAAGGGGGAACAGGGGGCAGGACACTGGACCTAATGCAAAACTCAGCAGTTCCAAGCATTTGCTTCAGGAATATACTTTGGCAATGCTGATTTAACTGGAAATACTCACAAAGAGCATGAGGTGTGCCAGAGAACATAGTGAGAGGTATTAGAGGACATTTGTGTTCCTAGTGGAGGGTCGTAAACTGGGAAACTTTCCTCACAAATTATTGCATCACATTGGGACATAGAGTAAATGTATGTGCCACTTTGTGCTTGGCAGTGCTATGAGGCTTTACATCCTATAAATCTATAAATTGAATTCATCCTGCTTACACCCTTAGTCTTATAAATTGTTAGACTAGGAACAGCTAATGGATCAGCTGGTGATTTATTTTTAAAAGATGCATACTGCTGCTTTTTGGGAACTGAAAAGGATAAAGACGCTGGATGTACCCTTCCTGAAGCCTGGGTCCCAGGTGATGAGGAATGACTTTGTATCCTCCCCTGTCCCTATGCACACACTTTATTCAAGTTCTCAGAGGGGTTCTACTGTTCAAGAAAAGAGAGGGCTGGCGTTGTGCAGAGATGTACTGCAAAGAAAAGGGCATGCAAAGAGCGGATGAGGCATCAGTAACGATGCCAGGTAATGTATAATGCAAAAGGATGTGTATAACTAATTTATTAGTATAAATTTGACTCTTAAAAAAAGCATATGCAAAGAAAACTCTAAAGGAGCAAACCCTACCTGCCTTGCTCCTTGAGACAAACCCTGACCTCACTAAAACTGTCTGAGTAAAATGAAGGAGCTTTGCCACAAACGGTGCCACAATTTACGACAGGAGACTCACTCCTGTACCTGCAGCATCGGTCAGTGCAAGTGCTGCCAATCATAACAGAAAGAAGGATCCATCATTTCCCAAAAGCTTCTCCACTGGCTCAAGTGGGAGCACGCTGCTTAGCTCGAAAGAGCTGCTCTTTGAGCTCATCCCTGAAGTTAAACAAAGTCACTTACCTTTTAGAGAGGCGACATGGGATAAAGCTTGTGCGTAGGTGGCTGTGTTGAGAAGAGTCCCCGGCAGGCAGGAAGGGAAGAAAGGTCCTGTAGGACCCACTGCTCGACTCAGGCTGATGGAGAACAGAAAACAACTTACAAAACCAGAACTAGCTGATTCCAAAGACAGAGCATGTGCATGCACACAGACATGTTGTTGGTGTCTCAGTGTCCAACCAGATGGGACCAAGCCTGGATAGCATTAGCCTCCCACAGCCAGCAGCTTCTCAACGTCTCCATGGGAAGCAGTGGGTTGCAAGAGGGACAGCTCATCTTCTAATGATTTGGGCTGTACCTGAAGATGGTACTGTGTAGGTCAAGGCTTAGCAGCAGGCAAGTCTGTCTGTATGTACACATGTATGATGCATGCTTGCCCCCAAAAAAGGCAGCTGCTAACATGCATTGCTCTTACCTCTGCTGGATCTCCAGACTCTCTTTTTTATTCCTGGTTTGATCTGCTGGAGAAGGGGAATTCAAATTCCTCGCAGGAGGCGCCACCTCAGCCATTGTTTCCTTAGAGCCCTCTTGGTCGGAAGCACCCCTCTCTGTTTTCCTCCATTTAGCTCTTCGGTTTTGGAACCACACCTGGAGCAGGAGAGCAATCCAGGCTGAATACCGTGTTTAGCCAAATGGGAAGCAAGGAAATTGTAAATTGTTGCTCTAGTGGAATCAGCCATTTAGAAGCTTGGCTAAAACTTCCTCTTACTTTTTGTCCCCATTGTTATTCTAGTTGAGCCTTAGGATTACATTTGCATCCGGAATATTTCTGTGTCTGGAAGACAAGCCAGGAATGTCTAAAGACATTCAAAAGGCATGTTAAAAAAACTAAAAAAGAGTTTTGATGTTACTGTGCCAGTTGTTAGCAAAACATTTAAACGTGTGCTTGCCTTTAGGCACACATTTCTCACTGATTTCTGTGTTTTAACACATCTAAAAGCTTTTTGTATAGGGATGGACTTAAACAGGTGTCTAAGCGCTCTGACGAAACCGTGTATGCCTTTAAATGAGCTGCTGCTAGAATCAGAGAGGTCAGAACTGAAAAGGTATGTATTAGGCCATCTTATCCAGCCCATTTCCTGGAGATGACTGACACTTTCTGTTATTCCTCTGATGTATTTGTCCGGTCTGCGTTTCGAGGACTCAAAAGGTGGTAGATACTGATTTTGGAAGATCATTCTGCACTTTAATACACACCAGTTTCCAAAAGCTATTTTTTTCCTCTAATGCAACACAAATATTCATGTTCTTGATTTTACCCCCCGACTTTCAGTCCAAACACTTTTTTCTTCCATTTACCTTGGAGCTGATGCTCCGAAAGGGCCTTGTTTGAGGTGGAAAATGCCAAGCCTCTCTTGAGGTCAGGAAATCCACATTTTAATACATGACTTCAAGTATAGGCAAGATTGTTATTATTATTATTCTCCTCCTACAACTCCATTTTAGTTAGCTGCCTTTTAATTGCATGTATCAGCAAACGTTGAATAATGATTTTATCTGTATTCTAAATTTAGAGCAGTTAAATGCAAAGCAAAATGCAGACACTTTCTTGCGTCTTAATTGAATGAAGGTCACAGCTATAACAACATTTAATTGAGCTATTTTTCATTATCATATTTTAATGACTTTGCACTGACAGTTCGCCTGCTTCTGAGGAAAGAGCATGATGAAGTCGTTTATTTCCCTATTTAGTTATTGTTTGACAACATCATCTTCGATTAAGACTCTGCTTTATAGCACATTAATCATATTTGAATGAGCAAGGGGTATAAATGTAAACATATCTCCCATCCTCTGTGTTTCCCCATGTCCCTGCATGAAAGCAGGCTAAACAAATGCTTGCATCTATTGTCTGTTTGCATAATAGCCAACAACAAGGCTAAACACCAGTCCTCAGCAATCTAATTGTCACCACCCCTATCTCACCCTTGCACCTTTCAGGAAGAAGTTATGATCTTCCACTTCTGAATGCTCAATAATTGTGCCATTTATCTCAATTTGCAGTTCAGTCTTTAGGCACCAATAGCCAAAATGGCATTTTTTATTATTTTTTTTAAGCCAGTATCTACAATGCTGTGGCAAAAGGAGATTTTCATTTCCAAATAATAATCAGTTTAATTTGCCTGCATATGACCAATGATTCATGTTCAGATTTAATAATCAGGATCGCATAATCTGATTATAGGAGAAATAATTTGTTTACAATCCCCAATTTACTGCGGTGAATTCCATTATCTCTCTTCAGCCATTGGGTTTTAAGAGATACTAACATGACCCTAGGGAACAAAAGGCTAGCTATTATATTTCCTACAATTAGATCTTTGCATAGTCTTAACCCCGAGCACCTAAATAAAAAAAAAATACAAAAACAGCATGCAGAAAAGCCCCATAAATAAAATGAATACACAATCCTGTTCAAAAAATGGCTTGCAACTCTGTGGTGGATGCCTGCAGAGTTACAGGGATGCATCTCTGACAACCGCAGGACCGCTGTTCTTAGCAGAGCTTATACGGACATAAAGTTAATCCCTGGATATGGAAAAACAAACACCTGGGTCAAAAAAAGGGGGCGAAAAAAAGTGGGGAGAAGGAAGAAAGGAAGGGGTGGAAAAGCTTGCGGGTGGAAAGAGAGCGATGGTGGCCAATGGTATTTATTGGATCATATTAAAGGTGTGGGAATTGCTCTGCAGGCTCTTCAGCTGCCGAAATTAAGTGTTTAGAAAGAAGGCGAAAGGGAGAAAAGTTGAAGAGGTGCGGAAGATTTCTTCCTGGCAGCTGGGCTCCCTGCAGTTGACTAACCCCATTGCTCGACAGTGGTCATAGTTGCTTTGGAGAATCACGTCTCGGCTCTTTTCTCCACACACACCCCCTCCAAAAGCAAGGAAATGGATGTGGATTGATGTAATTTAGTACCTTGGAGACGCGGACAAATTAGTGTAGAACATTATCACTAGTTAATTATGAATGACCGATTAATCAACCTAATCTAATATTCCACATTATGTTGATGTTATTAAAGTGCATCATGAAAATGACAGATCGTCTTCATTTGCGTTCTTTGGCCAAATGTGCACTCTGCAGTCATGATGTCAAAAAAAAAAAAAAAAAAGTTTGCCAGTTTGAATACCCGAGAGTTAAATAATTCCCCAGAATGTTTACCTGCACCCTGGCTTCCGTGAGGTTGATTTTCATAGCCAGCTCTTCCCTAGTGAACACATCGGGGTAGTGGGTTTGAGCAAAAACGGCTTCCAGTGCCTCGAGCTGGTGGAGGGGAGGAGAGCAAACATCTGTCAGGGGCAGGGCGGCACGGCTTGGAGCGCGGTACGGGCCGGGGAGCTGCCGTCGTCTCGGGGGGCGTCTGTCCAGCTGCCCCAGGGAGGTTTCTGCGAGGGATGGGGAAAGGGGGGCCGCCCGGGGCCGCGGGCTGCGGGCCGGGCAGGGAGGCGGGCGGTGCAGGGGGCGGGCAGGCAGGGGGGCAGGCAGGGAGGCGGCAAGGGGCGATCGGGGGGGAG